TTTATTAAATTCAAATTAGGTCACAATAATTTTTCTAATAAATAACTTGGTGTTAGTTTTTGTTTATAATAACGATAGTAGACTGTGATGGCTCAGTCATAACTACCGTAATATGGATTTAAGTGTTAAAATGTTTTGTATAAAAAAGCAAAACAATTCATAACGTTGTCTAAGAGTTGCCCACAAATACTAGTGGTTGCCATGGGTTACCATATAAATAATGATAGTTTACTAGTGTTGCATAAATACCGACAAATAGCGACAAAAACACATTAAACTCAACGCCAAATGCATTCCCATTAACGCAACACTAGTTTTGAGGCGCTATTTGTAGTGAACTGTCAGTCAATACAGACGACACACACAGCGAGACAACAGCTGAAGACAAGACAACAACAGTTGATTTGGGATCAGTTTCGGTGATAACACTCACATCACTCAATACACACACAACACTATCACCCATTGGATCAGCTGTTGGTCACACACACAGTCTCGCAGTGCAAATCGCAAGACATTACGCGCGACACAAGACTCAGAGGAATACTCATCTCAAGACATGTGGCGGACATTAATCATCGCACTGATGGCGAGTGGATCAGCTCGGGTGACACTGGCATCACTTGACAGCCAAGTATACCCGCGTCAGAACGTGATCGAAGCGCAGGACACCGGCGGCCAATCAGCGCGTCGTTACTGTGTCTTAGACTACACGTCGGGCACCAACTCCTCTATAACCACACATCAACTTCGGGACCGATTCCTACCCTTCGAGACCTACACCGACGACACGTGCGGACACACATACGCCTACCCCTGGTCTCCGCCTAACAACACGTTTGTTATCATCAAATTCACCACCGATTGCAACATCACTACACAAATCAATCACTTCGCGGGCAAACGATTGGCCGGTCTATTGGTGTCCGTCGGCTGCGGTGTAGACATTGGCAAAGAGATTATCGTAACGGAGCGGACACTACTGGCCACACCGTTCAGTGTAGGCGTGTTTACCGATACGAGTGAGCACTCGATCGAGCGGCTCAAGTGGTCGACCATTAAATTGTTTAACCCGTGGTCTGATCCGAGCCGATTCACGTTCGACTACTCGGTGCTGTGTCTGTGGTTTTTGGCCACATTTACCGTGTGTTTGGGCGCCTTTTGGTCGGGCGTTGTTCGCCATCACATCTATCGCTTGAATCGCCAAAAGTCCGCCAAACGTATGTCTCACTCAGTCTCTCTCTCTCTCTCTCTCTCTCTCTCTCTCTCAAAGTCGAAAACTAAATCCCAATTGAAATCATTATAGCCGTCGCCGACAAACACCAATCGCCGGCCTCTTCGGGCTCTACCACTGCCTCCGCCACCGCCGAAGAGGAGGCGTACGTCAACGTCTCGGCGGTACTAATACTGGGGTTCGTGGGCCTGATGTCGGTGATGCTACTCCTGCTGTACTTCTTCTACTCATACCTCATATACGTGATTATCTTCTTGTTCGCGATGGCGGCCACCGCTTCACTCTTTGCCTGCGCCGAACTCGTGGTTCTGTGGGCACTGCCCGCCCGCTGGACAGCCCCGGCGTTCACCTGTTTCACCCCCCGGTGCGGCCAAATGGCGTATTACCAGACGGTGCTGTTGGCCGCGGCGGTGGCCGTCTCTGTCACGTGGTTTGTTGTCCGCCGCGATCCGTACGCGTGGATACTGCAGGACCTGTTGGGCGTGTGTTTCAGTCTGAATATGTTGCGCACAATACGGCTGCCATCGTATAAGATATGCGTTGTCCTACTGTCGGCCCTATTCTTCTACGATATATTCTTTGTGTTCATCACGCCATGGATTACAGGTCTGTGTAAACGCATTGTCTTTAAACCCATGGTTTTTAACCATTCAATTGATCACTAATTATAGGCAATAAGACATCTGTGATGGAAGACGTGGCCACCGGCGGCTCGTCGGGCAAATCGCGGTGCGGATCGCCGCCGGAGGTGATCCCAATGGTGATGCGTATACCGCACTGGGTATTTAAGACGCGTACGCCTACCGGCGCCGACTCGCCCAACCCGTTGGTGGTCTGCCGGCCGGACGCCGACTCACTGCTGGGCTTTGGCGACATTCTAGTGCCCGGATTACTCATGTCCTACTGTCACGCGTTTGATCTGATCTTTGCCGTGAAGTACCGCCTGTATTACGTGACCACTTGCGTCGGCTACGGCTTGGGACTCATCGCCACTTATGCCGGTATATAACTGTTTGTTGTGTACTTTGTAGGCCTTGTGGTCACTTTATTTATGTGTCCGATTTGTTGGTCACTCTATTTATCTGTGTCTTATTTGTCTGCTAATAGGTCTGTACCTAATGGAAGGTATGGCACAGCCGGCGCTCCTATATCTGGTGCCGTTCACACTAACGCCGCCGTTAGTGATAGCGCTGTATCGCCGAGAGTTTGCCCAGTTTTGGTCGGGGCCTGAGTTGAGTCGCTCGTCCCCATCGCCGGCCGCTAACGGCTCACCAAAGGCTAATAATAAGCGGCGGGACAGCGAGTCGGGCGCAACGGCCACCACCGGTGCGGCCGTTGAAGACAATAATCTGCTGATTGGTAGTGCGGAGGCGGGCGCCCAAAACCCGACTCACTGACCGGTTCCCAAGTGATTGACATTACCGTACATAAGATTGTGATACTTTTTTCAAGTGTTGTAAACACAGGGATTCAGTTTGCAATACATGTGTTCACTCTATTTGTTTGTCCATCAGGTGTCGGACGCACTGCACTTTTTTTGCTTCCCCTATCTGTGCCTCAATTTGTATAATTGATTGTATTTTTTAATTATAATTATTTTAAATATTGTTTGAATTTTTATGTGTATATAATGTATGCACTTTATAATGAAGCCCAGATTTTTTGATGTAAAAATAGTTATTTTTTGTAAATTATTTTAAAATTTTGATTATTTATACGGTATTTGTATAGCAATTGTTTGATTCATAATAACAGTGATCACTGTAACGGGTGTTCACTGTATTGATACGCGGATTGTATTATATAATTGGTATTAAAAGAGATTATTATATAAAATTTGTTTTATAATTGTATTATTAGATAAATAAAATTAAAACTTTTTAATTGAATAAATTGGCAAATATTGAGAGAGAGAGAGTTGATTAGAGACTGTAATTGTTAAAATACCACTAATTGTGTGATATTAAAATATCACAATGATGTACTTACAAATGGAAATGTAAGTTTTTAATGTATATAAGTTACTGTTACTGTGTTTATATTTTTATATACGAATCTAATCTCGGTATTATTTGGTGATTGGAATCCAATATTAGTAATTTAACTATACTTACATTCAGATAACCTGGTGAATTTACATTTCAAATACAACACATTTATAAATTGATATATTTTATTATTTTTAAATATATTATATTTACATAATAAATACGAAACACATAAAAGTGTTCAATATAAGCAGGGACATAATTTAACACACATACACTGTACATACAGTTTATAATACAATAGAGCAAAACAGTGATTTACCACTTTATAAATTACAAAAATACAATAAATACAGTACTCTTGAGAGATAGCCATTCATACAATGGTTTCATTCCTCTCGGAATACATACAAAAAGTCTCATTCACTTTGGGATCAATCAAATCGAGCGCATCCAACGCCTTGAATACCGTACGGCCCACCGATTGGCCAATTTTGCGGACACAGACAATGGCGGCCAACAGCACAGTATCGCTATAATGTCTCTCTTTGGCCTCTTTGCACACCTCGACCAACCGATGGGCGCCATTCAACCGGACAATCAGTTTGGCCACAGCCCTATCGTTGGCCAATCGGGCCAAACAGACGCAACACTTTTGCTGTATGCGCTCCGAAGCCAACAGCTGGTCGTCGGTCTGACCGGCGCTGAACGCCAGTGTGTGGGGTCGGGCCTGAAGGGCGCACAACACGAACACCAGTCCATTACAGGCGACCACTTCTTCCGGGAATTTGCGGCCAATGTTGGCCAGAATTGTGATCAACTGGTCTTTGATGAGTATATCGTCGCCGAAGTCGCGCCTCTCCTTAACGGTCGTCAACAGTAAGACAATTGTCTGGTATTTGATGAACGACTGGTTGGTCTCGTAAATGAACGACACGTTGGCCAACACCGTGCAGACCATGAGAAACAGATGGCGATCGTTGATTGGCTGATGACGGACGAGTTGGGTCAGGCAGTTGACCAGATCCGTGGTCAGGAAGCGGGTCTGCCATTCGATGGCCGGCTTATTGTTATTGTGATCTTCATTGTTATCGTCGTCGGCGCTGTCGACGTAATGCTTAGTCAACTGTACCATCAGTTGGACGGCCTGTCTGAGCACAAACTGGTCACCACTGCCGGTCGTGTCGTCCAGTATCAAGTCCTGCAGCAGTGACTTGTTGTCGGCGCACTCCCACAGCACTTGGCGTACGGCCTGTCGACTCGTGGCACACATGTTGGTCACCACCTGAAGCGCGCCCGCCTTCACCTGTTGGCACTCCTGGAGGTCGTGGGAGCAGTAGTTTTGGCACAAGTCTATCAACGTGTGAATGAATTGGCCGTTATTTGACTCGAGCAACACTCGGCACAGGTAGGCGTCCTCGCGGGTCAGCTGCATGTAAGCCACGAGCGACCACTTGATGGTCAGATAGCTGTTCCGCTTCTTCAGCGATTCAGTGATTAACTATTTATGAAATAAAAAATTAAATACATTATAATTATGTGTTATTTTTTAATGAAGAATATTCTGTGTATAAGTTTTTTCATTAAATATTCTGGCGATAAGTGTATAAAACAGTGACTAAAAACTAACTAACCTAGTCTATAAAAATTATTAAAAATTGAACATGATCAAAACACAACTTACATGACACTCGTTGCGGATGGTCTGATCCACGAGTTCACCAAACTGCTCCTTCAGCTTCCTCAGCGTGGCCTCCAACTGGGCGTTATTGACGGCCCGTTTGGCCACAAACGACTGGACAAAGCGACTAAACTGTCCGCAACAGTCCATCACATCCACCGACAGACACTTATTGGACACTTTGTGGCTATAGTCGGAGCCCTGGCGGCGGCACAGCTGCACCACCGACTGGATCTGATCGAAGAGCTCGGGCAGACACTGGTCGTGGATCCGTTGCAAGCGTTGCCATTTGCCGATAGGCAGACAGTTGTCGATGAAGTGGTCAATGGTGTCGATTATGCGGTGCGATTCGCGCCGAATCTCGTTGATAGCGCAGTGCGACTGCCGTATGGCCAGCAGTTCGTGCGAGTGGTCAGTCGTGGCCACGTTTTTGGCCGACAGCGCCGACAGGCACTCGCTTTCGGTGGACTTCTTCAGCGACAGTAACCACTCGATGGTCGACTCGTCCATGTGTTTGATCAGGGGTTGCGTTTTGGAGCTATAAGTTTATGTCAACTTTTATTAGTTTTAGTTTTATAAGTAGTTTTAATTTAGTGTTTTTGATAATTAGTTTATTTATTATGAAATTATAAGTAATTTTTTGATGGTAAAAATTTTTAGTTACATTTTGCTATTGAAAAACATATTTTTTTGAGTACACTATTCGGCAATTAATTACAAGTGAAGCGTTTTTTCAAACATTAAGGTTTAGGGCAACGAAAGGAAAACTATTTTTACATACAATTCAATAGTGAAAAAAAGTTTTTTGAACTGATTTTTGCACTTTTTCTTAACAAAAAACATAACAAACAAATCACTAAAGAAGTGAAGGAATACAAGTGATGTCTGAGACGTGAAAATCGGATACAAAATGATGTGAAACCATAAGAAACTAAACACTTATAAGTTATAACCAAAAAATAACTCAAAACTCATTTCCCAAATGTGGGTCCAAAACAGGAAACTCTATGTTATATAAGTCGGTCTGTCATTCATTTGCGATAATTTTTATAGACTAGGTTAGTTAGTTTTTAGTCACTGTTTTATACACTTATCGCCAGAATATTTA